GGGAAGGGCAAGCTAGTTGCTCTCGCGTCAGATCTGACGTTCTACCCCTCCTTCCCATGCCTTACCATGGCGTAGATCTCTTCTCTATTCGCACAATCGGATGTCGTAGCATTGGCACAGCATGGTGTTGAAGATCAACGCGTAGCATGACATAGCATTGCGTGGCGACGCCCCAAAGTGGACGGGGGGGGGCTTCTGCGACCCTTTAAACAACGAACCCACGCCGAATGTGGAATCACTTCCGATGGTTTTTTCAAAAGGCTATTTTTTCGATTTGGGGCCGATTTGGAAGGACCGAAACCATGCCTTGGCATGGCGCTGGAAATAATGACGCCAGCGCTGCAGCGGGAGCACGATTCGTAACCAGCGGAAGCGCGGAAATGAGGCCAGCACTGCAGCGGGAGCACGATTCGGAGGACGCGGAGCCTGACATAGCATGGCGTGGCGACGCCCCAAACTGGGGGGGGGGGGGGCTTCTGCTACCCTTGAAATCAACGAATCGACACCGAATGTGTAATCACCTCCGATGTTTTTTTGTTTTTCCGAGGGTCATTGTGTAGATTTTGAAGCCGATTTAGAAGGACCGAAAAGCGTGCCTTGGCATGGCGCTGGAAATCATGACGCCAACGCTGCAGCGGGAGCACGCTTCGGAACGAGCGGAAACGCGGAAATGAGGCCAGGGTTGCAGCGGGAGCCCGATTGGGAACGAGCGAGCGGTGGCCCGAAAATGAAGCCAACGCCTCAGCGAGAGCAGCGTTTTGAAAAAAGACCAGCGGAAACCGTGTCCTGGGAATCCTGTGGTTGTTATATATATATATATATAAAACGCGAGGGGGGCCGGCCATTTCCCTGACGCCATCAGGGGAGAGAGGAGAGTAGTATTCACATTGTGTAATGATAAGGGGAACAGGGAGGCGGAAGAGGAAGGGAGAGAAGGGAGGAGGGAGGGAGAGGGCGACGGAGGAGATTTGAGGGAGAGGGGGAGGGGGAGGGGGAGGGGGAGGAGGAGGAGGAGGAGGAGGAGGAGGAGGAGGGGAGGAGGAGGAGGAGGAGGAGGAGGAGGAGGAGAGGAGGAGGAGGAGAAGGAGGAAGAGGAGGACGAGGAGGAGAATGAGGAAGAGGCGGAGGAGGAGGAGGAGGAGGAGGAAAAGGAGGAAGAGGACGAGGAGAGGCAGGAGGAGAGGAAGGAGGAGAGGTAGAAGGAGGAGGAGGAGGAAGAGGAGGAGGAGGAGGAGGAGGAGGAGGAAGAGGAGGAGGAGGAGGAGGAGGAGGAGGAGGAGGAGGAGGAGGAGGAGGAGGGAGCAGGAGTGCGAGGGGAAGGGGAGGGGGCGAGGGGAGGAGGAGAGAGTCGGGGGTACAAATACCATCGATCAGGGCGCGAACTGGCGAGTGCAAGGGGAGCCCAAGTGCTCTGCCTGCTACATCGGGATGGTAACGTGGCTTTGAAAAGAGCGGAGACGGGGGTACAGAAACCAACGCCTCGCCCGAGACATCCCCACACTCTGGGCGCGACCGGGGAAGCGTCATCCCCCCTGGCGGCTCCCCCTCGCGGTACCTAAGTGCTTTGCCTGCTACATCGCGGTGGCCAGGGGGCTGTCAAAAGACATGAGTCGCGCACTCCAAACGAGCGTCTCGCTCGAGACATCCCCAAAAACTTGGCGCGAACGGGGGAACATCATACCCACAACTGGGGTGCCCGAGTGCCACGCGTGCTGCATCGTGGTGATCACGGGACCTGAACAGACACGGGTCGCACACTCCAAACGAGCGCCTCGCTCGAGACATTCCCAAAATTTGGGCGCGAACGGGGAAGTGTCTCCCCCCTTGGCGGCTCTTCCCTGGGGTGCACAAGTGCCACGCGTGCTACATCACGGTGAGCATGGGGCTTTTGAAAGACAGGGGTCGCACATTCCAAACGAGCGCCTCGCTCGAGATATCTCCACAGTCTGGTCGCGAACCGGTGGTGTCTAACCCCTGGCGGTTCCTCCCTGGGGTGCCCGAATGCAACGCGTGCTACATCGCGGTGACCACGGGGATCTCAAAGCACAGAAGTCGCGCACGACAAACGAGCGCCTCGCTCGAGACATCCCTACAATCAGGGCACGAACGGGGAAGCGTTTACCACCTGGCGGCTTCTCCTGGGGGTGCCCAAACGCCACGCGTGTTACATCGTGGTGATCACGGTGCTGTCAAAAGACAGGAGTCGCGCACTTCGGCGAGCGCCTCGCTCGAGACATCCCCGACATGTGGAAGCGAACGAGGAAGTGCCTATGCCTTGGCGGCTCCTCCCCGGGATGCCCAAATGCCACGCGTGCTACGTCGCGGTGATCACAGGGTTCTGAAAAGACATGGCTCGCGCCACCAAACCAGCGCCTCGCTCGAGTCATCCCCGCAATCAGGGCGCGAGCAGGGAAGTGTCTACCCTCTGTCGACTCCTCCCTGAGGTGGCCCAAACGTCACGCATGCGACATCGCGGTGATCGCGAGGCTCTGAAAAGACACGGGCCGCGAACTCCAGACGAGCGCCTCGCCCGAGACATCCCCACATTCTGGCCGCGAACGGGGAAGAGTCTCCCCCCTGGCGGCTCCTCCCCGGGGTGCCTGAACGCCACGCCTGCTGTATCGCGGTGGTCACGGGTTTCTCAAAGCAGAGGAGTCGAGGGGCTCCGAACGAGCGCCTCGCTCAAGACATCCCCACAAACAGTGCGCGAACGGGAAGTGTCATGCCCCTTGGCAGCGTATCCCCAGGATGCCCGAATGCCACGCTTTTACACGGCTGTGATCACGGATGAGTATGAGCGGATCTGAGTGCGAGCGGTCTGAGTGTGAGTGGTACGGGTAGGGCTGAGTCTGAGTATGGGATCTGAGTGCGTGTATGGCTTGAGTGAATTTGGGTAATCTAGGAATGGGTGAGGGTGGGACGAGGCAAGTCGAGATTGTGGTAGCAGATTGTCGCCACGGCCCCTATATGTATATTGATGTAACTTGGCGCCACATTCACCCATGGCGTCGGCACGAGTGTTGCCAGTGGCAGCGACCAGCTCGTATCTCACAATGCGTTGTCGCACGTTTTTATGACACTGATGAAACAAGGGTCAATGGGACCACGGGGAGGAGGAGGAAGAGGAGGAGGAGGAGGAGGAGCGGCAGCGTTCGACGAACTGCATTGCCCCTCAGCGTCTCAGTGTCTCAGGAGGAGGAGGAGGAGGAGGAGGAGGAGGAGGAGGAGGGAGCTCACGAGGGAAAGTAGGAAGAGGAAAAGAGGAGGGGGAGGAGAAGGAAGAGGAAGAGGAGGAGGTGCAAGGGGAGGGGGAGGGGGAGGGAGGGAGGGAGGAGGGCGGAGGGGAGGAGAAGGAGGCCGGGGGACAGAGGAGGATCAGGAGGAGGAAGAGGAGGAGCTTGAGGAGGAGGAGGAGGAGGAGGATGGACGGTGCAGGGTAGAGGGAAATGGTATGAAGGAGCAATGGGGACGAGGTTGGAAGGAGAGAGGAGGAGCACGGACGGGAGGGAGGGAGGGTGGGCGGGATGGATGTATGGATTGGGGGAGTGAGAACGGGAGGAAGAGGAGGAAGGCAGAGGAGGAGGGAAGGGAGGAGGAGGAGAAAGGAGGAGGAGGAGGAGGAGGAGGAGGAGTCTGAGGAAAAGGAAGGAGGGTAAGGAGGAGAAAGGAGGAGAGCGAGGAGAGGAGGGAGGAGGAGGAGAGGAGGAGGGAGGAGGAGGAGGGAGGAGGGAGAAGGAGTGAGGAGAAGGACGGAGAATGAGAGGAGGGAAGGGGGGCCGATGGGGAGAGTGGTGAAGGAGGAGGAGGGGGAGGAGGAGGAGGAGGAGGAGGAGGAGGAGGAGGAAGAAGAAGAGGATGTGCATTGTCCCGCGAGCCCGATACAAGGATCATGCTTCACTGCGCGAAGCGCACCCCCCCCCCCTTAGAAGGCTCGTCTCCAGGTGCCCGCACTTCAAGCGGAAGCTCCGCTCTGGGAATACCCTTTCCCCCCTCCCCATCCTTCGAGCTAGAAGGAGCACGACGAGGTGGGGTCAGAGAGTTGAAGGACGTCCACGGCGACGGCTCCGCTGTCAAAAGACACCACCCTCCACCAGTATTGCCGCTGCACGAGCTCCACATTTGAATTGGGACCGCCATACCTCCGCTTACATAGGCGTTGTACAGCACTGTACGCGTCGCAATGTCGGCTGAGGAACTCCCAGGCGAACGTCACAGTTTGACCATCATCCATCCGTGTAATTGTTGGAAGTGTTTGAGGCGAGTTTGCGCGGCGCCACGGCGAGAGCCGAAGTTTAACAATGAATCGCCCTACAGCCGTGCAACTGATTGGTTATTTAAGGCGACTGCGCGCGGCACCTAGGCGAGAGGCCCATTGTGAAAACGATTGGCCCTCATTCCGAGCAGCTGCTGAAAGTGTCAAGCTTCAAGGCCGGAGACGGCGAGGAAGTCTCAGGTGAAACTCCTCGCCCGCCCTGCCGAGACGTCTGGTGGCGCGGCAGGGAGGAGTTTTTCATGAGGAAGAGGGATGGGGGAGGGAGGGGGAGGGGGTGCGAGGGCAGCATTCGACGGAACAGCATGCCTTCAGCTCGTCAGTTCATCAGGGGGAGTGCGGCGGAGAAGAAGGAGGATGAGGAGGAGAGCAGGGAGAGCGGGGAGGAGCAAGAGGAAGAGGGGGAGGAGGAGGGGGCGTAGGAGGGTTTGCACCTCAGCGGGCGGGCCCCAGTGGGGCGGGCTGGCGACGGGGGGAGGAGTGGGGAGGAGGGGCTGGGAGGAGGGAGAGCGGAGGAGCAACGGCAGGTCTTCCACCTCCCCCCTTCCCCTTCCCTCCTGTTCTCTCCCCTCCCCTCACCTCCCCTCCCCCAGCTGCCCTCCCGTCCCATCCCCTGCTGTGTGCCCCTCCCCTTCTTCCCATCCTGCCTTCTCCTCTTCCTCTACATGCTATCGACCCTAACCATAGCGTCAATGCACCCTCCTTCCCCTCCCTGCCCATCGCTGCCGAGGAACATCCGGTATTACGAGAAGATGCGGCAGAGCCGATGGGTTCCAGCCTTGGGTTGGCGTGTGACCTCCGAGAGTTTCTCGCCTATGTTCTTCGAGAGTTTCTCGCCTATGTTATCCTTCTCTCTTCCACCCCTCCCCGTTGCTTGCACGTTGTTCCTCCTTCCTCTTGCCTCTTCATCCACAGCCCTCCTCCTTGTCGCCGTGATCCTCTTATTGCTCATCATCATCAGCAGCAGCGGCATCAGCATCAGCATCAGCATCATCCGAATCATCATCACCACCACCACCATCATCATCAGCATCATCAGCATCATCATCACCAGCAGTAGCAACATCATAACATCATCAGCATCAGCATCAGCATCATCATCCTTATCCTCATCCTCATCCTCGTGTTCATCCTCATCATCATCATCATCATCATCATCATCATCATCAGCAGCAGCAGCAGCAGCAGCAGCAGCAGCATCACCTCATCCTCCTTCTCCTCCTGTGCCACCTCACCCTCATTCATCCTGTCCCACTTAGGACACAGACTGAATCCGTCCTACATCTTGGCCGTCGACACCGCCACGGGCAAGGCGCCCAGCGAGCGTCTGCAGCGGCGCCAGCGGCAAGCCTTGCAAGCAACCAACACCGCAGCGTGCCGCGAACTACGCGCGGCTGCGGCCGCTGCGCGCAAACCCCGCCTGCAGCGCACGCACGCGGCTGCCGTTGCCCAGCATCTTCCCTGAGGGCTTCGACGCGACGATCCGTGGGCGCCTCCGCGCACGGTGGCCTGCCCGGGCGCTCCCCCCAGACATCCGCCAGAGGTGGCTGCGCCTCAAAGACCCAGATGGCTGTTGCCGCCCCGGCACGTGTTGGGCGACCATCCGCACCCTTACCGTCTCTTGGCCCACCTCTTACCGCATGCACGTGGGACATCCCCGCCGGCCTTGCCGGCGGCACTCCGAGGATGTTACTGACCAGATCTCGCACTAAGTGGATCGGTGGCGAGCAGGGGGGGATGTGAGAGAGGGCACGTCTTCTCAGTCTGCGAAGGGCCTTCTGAGAAACCGTCCGTGTTTTCAGAGAAGGCTCGTATTCACAAGGCGTGAGGGCTTCTGAGAAGCCCCGCCGTCTTATGAGAAGACCGGCCCCCTCTCACTTCCCCCCTTGGCCGCCGCCGAGTGAATTGCCGTGGCGCCTGGTGGTGCGTGCGCGTAGCACCGCGCACCAACGCCCACGCAAGTCTCCTGCGCCGCCTTGGGCTCCTGCCGTGCCCGTGGCAGTCCGATCTCTCTACGGGGACTGCCGTGGCGCCTGGTGGCGTGCTAGCGCGCGTAGCATCGCGCACCATTGCCCGCGCAAGGCTCCCGCGCCGCCTTGGGCGGAGGACTACGCCGCGGATCCGCGGGGCGAGAACGGCCTCCCCAGGACCGTCGCCCGCTTCGCGATGGCTTGGGGGCTTGCAAAAGCCCTGGGGTACCTCAGGATGCTCTAAGCTCGACGACAAACGTGCCCCTTGACACCACATGGCGACGATTTACTATCGTACGTGTCTACTGCACCGCCCCTGCAGCCTCATGCGACACCGTCCCAGCCCGCTGCAGCCCGGCCCAGAGGTGGCCCAGGGACCAGAGCGCGCTGCGGCCCACCGCGTGCAGGTCCTGCTGCCCTGCTGGGCATCGCGGCCCCCGGGGGCAGTGACTTCTGTGGGCGGCCAGGGAGCACCAGGAGGCCACTTGGTCCAGGTGTCTTCTTCTCGTTCAGGGGCGAAAGAAGGACGTACACGTATATGAATCGAGCAGTGGCGAAGCGTCCTGGCATGCCTACAGGCCCATCAAATAATATTCGAAGAACCTCTTGTGGTCTGCACGACATGTTTTTAGAACATGTATGGTTGAGACTGCCTTGTTTTCACACATCGGGTCTATGTTCTAAGAATATTGATTTTGATGTTCGAACAGCTCTGGATTCTAAGAACATGTCGTGGTAGACCTGTAGGAATGCCCGGACGGTCGGTCCCTGCTCAATACATGAACTCACGTTGGTTCCGAAAGTGCGCATCGCGCGAATTTTCGTATGACGAGGCTGGTCTCGCAGACTGGGGGGCCGTAATCATGTACGTGGTTGGGCGTGTACGTCCTTCGTGGGACCCCAACCCGTACACGCCGACGCACTCCACGAGCTACGGCTTCAGCACCCTGACGTCTGGACCGTTTCGTTGTGACGGGTTTGTCGTCCCGAGCCATTCTGTGATTGCCATAAACTGCAACGAGGGTGCTGTCCACTTTCGTGCATGCGGGAGGCGGGCAAGCCGGAACAACATAAGATTGACATCCACATCTTGGGTGTACCGGCCTATCCGCGGCTTTAGGCGTGTAGACTGTTGGACGTCGTGCTCTCCCCTCACGGCCTGCGGGCTGATCCCATCCCTTGCTCTAATGCGTTCCATGGAAAAAAATTAATTAAAAATGTGCGTACAAAATATAGAATGCAATACACATGGATGGTTGCGCCCCCCCCCCGTTGAGACGTTGAGACCATGCATCTTATTTTGAATCGTATTCATCCGCATCTCCCTCTTAAGTATAAGTTCCCTTCCTGCTGCTCCAAACACAACTCGTCCTTCCTATGTTATGCTTCCCCCCCTGGCATTCTAAACAAACATCGTCCTTCTGATTAAATGTTCCCTCTAGTCTTCCTCGTTATCCTCCTTCTCTGTTCCTCCTCCTCTCCTTTCCTCATTGTTGCAAAACCCATGAAAAAAAAAACAAGAATACACAGCACAGTGATTAACGCCCTGGGTGAAAGGAAATGTGTTTGGAGGGTCTGTGAAACAAGGACACAATGCGTAGCTTGTTTTGTTTATTTGGTTTCCGAAGCTCAAGTGCTCCCCGCTGCCTTCCCCCCAGCACCTCCTCCTTCTCCCCCCGCCTCTTTCCCACTCCTTCTCCTTTCCTTTCCTCCTCCCTGATGCAAATCAAGAACACCAATAACACAGTGTTTGGCGCCCTCGGAGCCACGAAACGCTGTGTGTTGTGCTGGTGTTGTAGATTTGGGCCTGGGAAGCAACCGCACATTGTGTGGGTCTGACTGTTGGGGTGTGTTTGGCTTTGGAGGCTCCGGAAGGGAAGGAGGATGTGGTGTTCGAGGGGGAGGCTGCGGGGAGCATTTGAGCTTCCAAACCAGAAACAACAAAAGGCAATAATAAACCGTGTTCCGCTGCATCACAAAACAAGCGACTCCCCATAGCTATAAGAATAGTACATACATACATAAATACATACATACATACATACACGCGTACATATAACCATACGTACATACATACATACATAATGGTAACAATAGTAATGCATCGTTTCGTGGCACCGAGGGCGCCAAACACTGGATTATTGGTGCTCTTGCCTTGCAACGAGGAGGAGGATATGAAAGAAGAAGGACGGGGAGGCCGCGGGGAGCATTGAAGCTTCCAAATCAAAATAAACAAACAACAAAAACAGAATACGCAGTGTGTCCTTATTCCACAGACCCTCCAAAAACGGTTCCTTTCACCCAGGGCGTCAAACACTGTGTATGATTGTTTTTAGAGTTTAGCAACACTGAAGAAAGGAACAAAAAGAAAACGAATAAACGCGGTGCCGCCTTTTGTCACAGACCAAAAAAACATCTCCTTGCACCGAGGGCGCCAAACACTGTTTGGTCGTATCGCAGAGAAACTGTGCTGGGAGGGAGGCCCATGCGAGAATTGGGGCCCGCATAGGCCCCCAAAAAAACGTGAACGACAAAACTAAAATACGCAGTGCCCACTTGTTCCCAGACCCCAAAGAACCAACAAACCAAACATACACAGCGTTTCCTTGCACCGAAGGCGCCGGGAGGAGGAGGAGGAGGAGGAGGAGGAGGAGAGAAAGAGAGAGGAGAGAGAAAGAGAGAGAGAGAGTGAACAAAAAGAAGAGAGCAGAGAAATGAACAACTGACGAAGAAATAACAACAAGCGAACTTTATGACCTCAGTGTTCACGGCGCGAGGATGCCAGAGTCTTCCTCTTCCTCCTCCTCGTCCTCCTCCTCCTCCTCCTCCTCCTCTTCCTCCGTAACCACTTTGGCTCAAGCTGTTCACGCCCCGCGGTGTCCACATGGATGCCGCTGAGCCGCGGCCAGCTCCGGTCTTCTTTTCGGTCCTGCCACAACCACGTGCTTGCAGGCGCCCATCTCCATATTCATCCCTCGCACTGCTGTGTGCGGTGGCCTCCATATTCCGCGCTGGACAACAACTCCGCGCACCACTACCTCCATCGAGCTGCTGGTCGACGATCCCCACATGCGCGCCAAGCCCGCCGCCTCCTCCGTGGCGGACGTCGCCATGCCCGCCGCCGCCAGCGACACGGCCACCGAGGACAAGCGAGGCAAAGGTGGAAAGGACCCCTGGCACGATGGTGCCCTCAAGCTTGCCGCCAACGAGCTACCTGCACATCTACGACACCAGTTGGACGAAGTTCTTTCAGCGCAAGTACAGCATGCCGCTAAAAAATTCGAAGCCACCGCCAAGTCCGTCATCAACGCCGCCAGGGAGCAGCTTCTCGAGAACATCACAGCTATCGCAACCGACTTCAACACGAAACATGAGAGAGCCGAACGAGACCTTGCAGATGCAAAGCGAATAATTTCCGCCACAGAAGTGGCCACCAAGGAGCCCCGCGACTCTGTGGACCAACTCCAGAAGATCGTTGCCGACGCCGAGCCCCGCAACCCCAGCATCGACGTGGCCAGCCCTGGCACGTGGGATCGTCCAGCGGATCCGTGCACATTCTGGTTTGGTTTGGTGCTGCCACCCCATTCGACGTCGAGGACCTCAAAAAGCCACTGGGATCCTGGCTCGCCGACGCCAAGGTCACGCTCGACCAGGTATCTTTCAACGCTACTGGTATCCTCAGACGCCACAGCTTCACCCTCACTGGTGGCACGGTTGTTGCTGAACCCCGTGCACGTCGTCTTCACGAAGCACTACACGCTGGCAGAAGTTGGCGAGCGCTCAGCATCTCCGTCGGCAGC